TCAGTATATCCTGTTCACAGTTTCCAAGCCAAGGTGCTATCTGCCTGACTTAATTAAGATTTATTTGCAAACCAGCAATTAAAGAGCTGTAATTCTTTCCTGTGGCCTGATTAGCTCTGGCAGGATGATCAGGTGTGGCCTCTCTGCTCCTTCTTTATAACTTGCTGGAAATTTTCAGCCTGGTTTTTAAAAGCAAATACTAATTAGTGCCAGCCGAGGTCAGACCCAGAGCACTGCTCCAGATCTAGGAGCCAGCAATTGAAGGGTGTGCCCCAGGTTCTGCCTGGAGTTTGAGTCTCTCATCTTATCCTGGGGTGGGACCAGGGCTGTGTTCCTGGTGTGTGTGTGTGTGTGTGTGTGTGTGTGTACCTGAGGTCACCCTGGAGGGTGTGCTCGGCAGGGATTTGAAGGGCCAAGGTGGTGTTACCTAGAAGACACAGTAAATACATTTGAGACCATTAGGGGGCGCTGGAGCCAACCTAAAGTTCCATCTTCTGTGGATGGAGGATCCCTGCCCTGGTGGCTTGTCAGGAAGGGGGATTCTAAATAGTACTGAGCCAAGAAAAAGAGTCTTGGTATATATAGAATAGCATGTATGTAAACTTAAAAAACACATAAAGACTGTTTTCTAAAAAACATCTACATTCCATTTATGTGAATGTGTAATGGACCGTAGGTCTCTAGAGTAGTGAAATTCAGAAAAATCAAGTAGAAATGCAGGTTCCAGTGATGGTAGGGAGGGCATAGGAGGTGGTGTTTAGTGGGGACATAGTTTCTGACTGAGAAGACATCATTCTGGAGATGGGGATGGCATTGGCCGCACAAGTTTGAATGTGCTCCACGCCACTGAACCATGCATTAAAAATGGTTGAAACAGAGCCAGGGACTTAGCTCAGTGGTGCTGCCGCCTGCTTCACAAGTGCAAGGTCCTGAGTTTGATCCCTGGTACCCCCCCCACACAAAAGGTTAAAACTATTTCATGTTATCTGTGCTTTATCGTAATAATTTTCAAAGACAGATGGATACAGAGAGATGTACCTTAGAGATGTGGAGGGCTGGGGCATGGAGGAATGGGAGTAGAGAGTGGGTAAAAGGAATAGGCTGAGGGGCTGCAGGTAGGAAGAGAGGCCCTGGATGCATCAGTGTCACTGTCTCACATAGTGTGAGCGGATTCGCCAAGTGCAAAGTTTATGCTAAAATGGCAAATGCAGTACCCGCATGGACTTCCGGGCATGTCCTGCCTTGCGCTCTCCTGACCCACCGTAAAGGTGCCTCATTTTGCTGTGGGATAGAGACTTTCTACACGCAAGTACGTCTCTCTCCTTATTTAGGATCAACTCCTTAAACTTCTTTCCACTTTTCCAGTGATATCTCCTCAGAAACTGCTAAGTAAATATAGCCAGTTTATGTCCTGTGACCCCCCTGCCCCTGACATTTGGGGAGGGTCTGGATTTTTTTTAATTGTTTGTGCCAGCCCATGCCCAAGCAGCATTCGATATGGTTGTTCTGCCTTTGAATCCATTGTTTTAAAAGCCTCAAGCCATAATTTAAGTCAGCTATGTGGAAAAACCACAAGACTTTTACGAAGTCCAAATACATTGCTAGTGAAGTGATGAGACTTGGGATGAAGGGAGACTGCCAGGTGGGTACAGCTGTGCCTTCTGGTGTGCCTGAGGGTCCCCCTGAGTCCATTCAAGGAGAGGGGATTAAGATTGAGATTTCTGGGATCCCTGCCATATTGTTGGCATGAGCACATGGTGTGAGTACAAAAATTAACTGCACGCTGGTGACTTGTTTATTATGCTAATAATGTCAGTGTCCTGTGGTTTAGATCAAAACCTGTAGCCTTTTCATAAAATTGCCCCTGAAGTCAGTAAAGCTGTCTTCTAAGTTCAAAAACCCTGCAGATGGACATAGGGCAATTTTAAGCTGCGAATCAGAGGAGTACTTAGACTTCAAAAGAGGGACTAAGTAGAAAGGAGTTCAAGGTAAAGTAGAAGCTGAGCACCTTCCTGACAGTGTTAAAAGGCTTGAAGGAAGTGGAAGAGACCAACTTCCCCTGCCCTTGTCTCTGATGTCTTTTTTATTCCTGGGGATAAAACACGGAGCCTTACACATGCCAGGCGAGTGCTGTGCCCTGAGCTATACCTATGGCCTGTGATGCCTCAGTGCTGAGCCTGTGCATCACCTAGGAATGGTCCCTGACCCCCCGATGAGCCTCTGCCAGGCTTGGGAGCTGGAGGCAGGACCGGGCTGTCTGTGTGTCTGGGACAGCTGCAGAGATAGGGGCTTGGGCCCAGCCTGCTGGTAAGAAGCAACAAGCACCTCAAACAGAACAGTTTCGTGGCCTGGCAGCCCTGGTCTTGGTCCTTTGAGAGCTGCTGGAATCTGGGCTCTGCATGCCCAGCCCTTGGCATAGTTGGCTTTTCATGGCTTCAGTCACACAGGGGTGTATTAAGTTACTTTCTACCAAAACAGATCTGACCTTGTTGGTAACATGGGTGTAAAAATGCCCACCTCACAAGATTGCTGTGATGACTAATTGAGATAATGTGAGCCTCTGTCCCAGAGTTGGGTGTACAGTAGGGGCACAATAATGGCACTTGTCACTACTTTTGTATCTTGGGTTTTGAGTAGCAAGAGATCATCAAACTATCCTCTGTATGTTGGCTTCCAACCTTGTGATCACAGGATGACTTCTATAAAGTAGTTGTATCTGCATTAAAGGAAGAAGAAGAGCAGGGAAGTAGAATTTGCCATCCCTATTCTTTTTAACCAAACAAAAACTTTCCCAGTGGGCCCCAACAGACTTCCCACAGGTCTGGTTGGCCATTTCTGGTTACATGGACACCTAGCTGCAAGGGAGGCTAGAAAGATGATTGGGGAGGGAGTAATATTGTCATGCTTTACTCTGTCATTTTCTTAGTGCTGACTGGAGTACAGCTGGGGTTGTTAGTGTGAAAGAAATGGGAGGGACAATAGCCTGCAAAGACTGCCCGGAGTAGTTGTCTGATTCCTCTGGGGGTCGCCCAGCCTGCCAGCCTGTGCTGTGGTGTCTGGACAGACAGGGAGGAATCCTGAGGCTGACTTAGTTTAATAGAGAAAGTTGGGTATTGGATGGAAGCTTCTAGAAGTGAAACCTAGAACCCCACGTCCCCACCCCAAGCACGTGTACACTCAGGTCCTATTTTGCAAACACACTTTCTCCTGTCCTTTGGGACAGCAGATTCTTCTCTACTGTGAGACTTTCCTCTGGGAAGTTGCCTTGAGTCTTCCCTCCTAAGTGAAGGGGAGGGCATGTGTGGGCCACCTGGAAGGGAGCAAAAGACTGAAGTGTGAGTTCAGGGAGAACCCAAGCCTGGCTCAGCATGGGAACAGGGGGCCACAGAGGCTTTATGGAGGTAGTGGCTTTTATTGTTCAGTTAATAAACGTTTCATCTGGCCTCCATACCTGGCTCTGTGATGGTCTCTGAACAATCAGACAGGTGGCTGGAGATGGTGGACAATAGGAGCCACTGCCCAGCACCATACGGCATCAGAGACCGGAGGTGGGGTCATCTGTGCCTCCTAGAGATGCCCCTTCCGGGTCCCTTCCCAGGTCCCCTGTCCTGATGCCAGGTACTGGAAGCAGTGCCAGAGAAGGTCATTATCAAAAGTTCAAAGCCTGTCCTTTGCAGAGACAGGAGTGACCTTAAAGTCATAGAGGCTTGGCTGTGTAACCTCATGGCCCAGCTGTCTGCCTCTGGGGGCTCAACTTGGAGGGAAACTAAACCTCAAAGCCACAGGGATGTTCCTGCCGTGGGGATGGTGGGGATGTGGTTTGTGACATCTAAGGCCCCTCTGAGTTCAGGGTTTGGGTTGGTATCAGCAGTGAGTCAGCAGTGACGCAGAGGGGCCCCTGGGACAGACTGCTGTGCTCCAAAGCATCATGGGAAAGAAGAGCTGCAGCCACATCTCCGTGCCTAAAACAATGGCAGAAACGGGAAGGGTTCATTTCCAGAAACTGCAATTCAGGGCAACGAACCTTTCACCCATGCACTTCTGCCTGAAAATAGTCTCCCTGGGTTACATGCAGGAGCCCCCTTATTTTAAACCACAGGTGGCTTGAACATCTTCCTCCTGCGTTGTTTCCTTGCTGATATGAGGGGCAGGTTGGAGATGGGGTACATCACCCACTTTTCTGAGCCTTTGATGGGTGGCAGGAAAGCCCACGGCAGAGCCAAGGCCTGCAGGGAGGTGGCTGTCTAACACAGATGGCTCCTGCAGGGTCCCAGATCCTGGAGCTTCTCTTGCCACGGTCCCTCCCTGCTGCTGAGTTCTTCAGGCCTGGAGAGACCCTGATTCTGCGATGGACGTTGGCCTTTCTGGGTTGGAAATCTGACCCAGAGCTGGGCTTCAGTGTGAACTTGATCTGAGGTGGGATGCAAGGTGCCCGCTGTTGCCTGTCAGCTCTGCAGACTCAGGTCTCAGCTCTCTTCCCCGTGCTGCCCTCTGGCCTCCCCCCAGTGCCACACAGGGTAGCCTGCCCTTGTGACCTACCTTGGTACCTGGCATCATCAGTGTTTTCCTCTAGACCACGAGCCTTCCTGGGGTGAAGGGACACTGGGGTTCTTGCTTCCCTGTTTCCAGCATGCAACACTGCATGGAACAGGCTGGATCTTCAGGAATTGGTGGGGGAATGAAGGGGTGAATAAGGGAATGGGGCAGGAAGGCCAGAAGGAGACAAAGGGACGTTTCAGACTCCCGCATGAGGATTCATTAGGTTGAGGCATCATATTTTGTGAGGTGAGTCACTCTTGAGGGACACTTCTTCATGCTGATACTGATCCTGACCATCTTGTTGGGGATGATGACAGTCCGAGAAAGCATCTCGTATGCTGGTCACATGCTCACAGATTCTCAAGTGAAGGTGTCATTTGCTGCTCAGGGTGATCAGCTGCGTGAATGAATCCAGGCTGTTTTGGGATGGTCACAGCCTTTCCTCTTTCCCTGTCTTTCAGAGTGAAACATCTTTCAACCTAATATCAGAAAAATGTGACATTCTATCAATTCTTCGGGATCATCCTGAAAACAGAATTTACCAGAGGAAAATCCAGGTGAGGCAGCGGGTAGAAAGATGAGGATCTTAAATGAAATGGAATGGAGCTGGGTGCAAAGAAGTGGGTGGCACTTTGAAGGCTCAGAGTTTGAAGCAGGTTCCCAGCCAACTATAGCACTCCCAGAAAATTCTGATGCTGGGTGGCCTGTGCCTTAGCAAGAAATCCTTTTCTTGCTAAAAAAAAAAAAAAAAAAAAAAAA